CTTCAGCTTGCTTTCCCCCTGCAGGCTGTTTGTATTGGTTACACACATGAACATTCATAAAGCTTGATGCTGTATCACCTATGAGAAATTCCTATAACTGGGTACAAAGCGTGATTGTGCGAGCATGGTTATACAATGTGTGGTTACATGATGGGAGTGCAGCTCTCCCAGATTGTTGTCGGTAGAATCTGTTCGTCTCAAGGCTGCTTGTTGCCCTTATCGAGGTCGTGCACGCAGTCATGTGTGTGGGTTACCTAGCAAACAGAAGCACTCTAGCTTTCTACCTACAACACATGCATCAAACCTGACATTCACCTTTGCTGACTCTATCTTTTCATATAAACTTTCCGTCTTGTACAACATGTTCTAGATTTCTTTTGGATCTAATGCTGATGTGTTTAGAAATATAGACATAAATACTCTTAAAAAGGGGAACTGGGCTGGTTGCTGACTGCGTCATCTTTATATCCTTTATTTCCACGATGTTCTTCTTGCTATCAGTGCCACGTTTGGGCTTCGTCTACACAACATGATTGTTTATTCCCTGAACAAACTGTAAAGGTCATATTTGAACCCTTCACTCATTACAACAGGAGGATTTTCGACATTGAGACCACTTGTCCTGTATTCAGATGGCTGTGCTGAGGTCTGAGGTCAGAGAGTCACCAAATGTGAAATATAAACCAAATATCTTTAAATGGTAAAAGTTTCCTGTTTTAGTGGAACACAATACTTCACTCTGAGAGCGACTTCTCTACACTAGCTTTCTGTTCTCAAGTACATGTTTTTGTTTGTATTTTGTGTAACTTTTGTTAGTCTCTACCTCTGCATTGATCTTTGCACTTGTCTAAATGAGGAGGACACGAGATGAATAAAGATTATTTAAATAAATAATTCAGTGTACAGGAATTCATCAAACTGGTTGCAGGAATGAAGTTTTTCTCACACAGGATGTTGCTGCCTTTCTGATTAATAGCTGTCTAACTAGCTGGTCAGAGAATTAGACAGCTGGTTAGGTTATTAAAAACTGAGCTGTTATGTTGGTAGTGGACAGGAAGCAGACTTCGTCCTCTGCACTGCACAGATTATTCCCTTTGTTTTTCCTGTCTTGTCAGACATGCAGTGGTGTAGCATGGTGCCCCTAACAGTGCAGAATGCTGCACATGCGCTGCAGTGACACGGGGCTGTAGTTTATACAAACATAGTGTTTCTGCACCGTGTGCCCAGCACAGCCTTCAACAGAGCGCGGCCGGGGAGGAGATCCCACAGCACTGCTAAACAAGGACAGGCTGTGAGCACGGCACGGCACGGCACGGCCTCACAGCTGACCGGGTCCTCATCTGTCCCCAGTGTGACTACAGCAAACCTCAACCACACGACACGGACACACGCACACTCAAGACTTCTGTATCAGTTCAGCGCTCCGGCGAGCTGCACGAGTCGTAACTGTACCGGAAACTGAGTGAACCCGCCTTCAAAATAAGGCTCTTGGAAGATTTCACTTCGATTCCGTTTTATTTAATTTTGTTTGTAACGCCAAATCACAACAGCAGTGACGTCATGTTGCTTCCCATTATAAAGACCAATAACAGGCCGCATTAGAGTGATCTCTCTGCCTGCTCGGACCCCTGCTCAACACACCGCACTGCTACATCACAACACTCCCGATCAGGGGTCAAACACGAAGCCTGCCTCAGGATCAGGTTCAGCAGTAACAAGGACGCGGGCGCATCTTTCCAGAGCAGTTTGTGGTCGTAGTTAAACGTAAATGATGAATTCAGAGACGCGCGTCCTGCCGCACTGATAGCGCTGCCAGCTCTGCTGCCCTCTGCACCCAGTGCAGCTGCTCAGTTTTTCCTTATAATGAATAATAACGAACCTCGGCTCAAATAACAGTTTCACCTCACACGTCCTGTATTTGGTGCTGCCTTGTGTTGTGTTAGAGACTGCGCTTTGGCAGTGCGGCGGCGGTTCAAATGGTGGACACAATGACCTCTTAGAAGTGTTACGTCACAGCCTCGGTGTTTCCGTTTGAAAGCGCTGACCGGAAACTCGCTGTGACTGCGCGTAACTTGACGCAGGTGCCTGTCAAAGCGCCGTTCCGCTCGGTGTTTCGCAGAAACGCCGGCTGCTTTCGCCCTCCTCGGGCATCGCGCTCTCCTGCCTCATCGACCCTTTACGCGTGGAACATATGAAGGCGCGCTCTCGGCTCTAAAATGCTATTTTTAAACGTGACCTTGCGTCGAAGGACTGAACGCCGGCTCGTGTCAGTCCTGAAGGATTTCTTCGTGCCCGCAGCGCACTGCAACACACCGGCAGCTGAATGAATAGAAGCCGGGCCGTGGAGACTCGCTGCAGCAAACAGGACGGTGCTGATGAACAACACGGCCTACATGCCACGGAGTCTCCAGGACACCAGCTGTACGGACTCCTTCACTGACGCGCTGTTCCACCTTGTAACGCAGTAATAACTGAGCTCCATTTTATTCGCTGCTGCAGAACTAAGCATCACAAGACAGGTGTGTGTGTGTGTGCTGTGTGTGTGTCTGTGAGATCCACTATGCAAAAGAAGGAACGACCAGGCCTAAGCTTTTTGGATATTGCATAACTCTTCTTTGCTCTTGGTTCACTCCTGGGCTTTGTAGTAGCTGCTCACTGGATTAGTGTGCAGCTCACGAGGCCTGGAGGTGCACAGAGGGTGCTGAATGGTCTTTTAGAGCTGGGCCCTCTGTAGATGCCTTATCCACCCAGAAGCAACGGATTGAATTGCAAACCACGATGTGATCAGCAATAAAGTCAACAGCCAAGCAATAAAAGTGAAGAACTTATGCAAACAAAGATCCCAGCGGAGGTTTTTGTCCATCGGCAGCATAAATAAACTCTAACTATGCTTCTGAACTGCGGTCAGCCATTGCCTCTCCTGAGGCATACGGACGTGCCGCCTCGAGTCATAGAAAACTTTATCCTGACGGGCTACCGCTTCCCAAACTACAGCCTGTGGGACTGCTTACTGTCAGCGTTCAGGCCTACCAATGAAACGGGCAATTTCTGGACGCACTTTCTTCCTGTTTTCATCTTTTTCTACTACTTTGTGGAGGTTTTTGGTTGGGAAGGTGCGCCTGATAGCAGTGAGCCTTTCTTCTATCCGCTGTGGAATTACTTTATTGGGGTGTCCTGTTTACTGATGGCCAGCAGCATGGCTCACCTGCTAAACTCAATGTCTCTTGTGGTACGAGAGGTTTGCTTCTTCGTGGATTACGGCACCATCAGTGCGTACACGGTCGGCTCATCGTTGGCATACTACTACTACATCCACCCTCAGGCAGGAATAGCAGAGACAGGGAGCAGCTCCCGGGTGGAGTTGAACCGTGAGGCTGCACCCTCAGCCTATGCAATCCCAGAGTGCAGCGTGTTCTTTGAGACCTACTACATCCCGTGTGCATGTGTTGTAGCGATCATCTGTGTTTTATCCTGCTGCAATACTCGGCAGAGGTGGAGGCAGCATCGCTATATCATCCGGACGCTGGTTTTTCTCCTTCCGTTTCTCATCTCCTCCACACCAATCTTCTACCGCCTCCTCACCCGATCGCCTTACTCCACCTCCTCCTCCTCCTTCACCGCTTCCACCCCCATGGCCCGCTTCTTCTATCGCCACTGCCTCTGGTTGCTGGTGTCAGCCATCTTCAACATTAGCAAGTTCCCCGAACGCCTTGCACCAGGACGCTTTGACATCTGGGGGCACAGCCACCAGTGGTTCCACTGTTGCACGTTTTTGTCCATCCTGGATGAACTTCACATGATCAAGGCTGAGATTAAGGCCACTTGCTGAGCCAGCGTTGCTGCTGCCCCCCACTCCCTCCACCTCCTGGATCCCACCGTCGCGTCCACCTACGGAGTGATGCTCCTCCTCCAGACCACCATTGTCTCCATCATCGTATGGTTCTCCTGGCGGGCCAACTGTATCTATGGATCCCAGAGAGAACAGCTGGAAAAGGAGCACCCCAAGAAGCACCTGAAATGTCACTGATCACGGAGAAGTCACCGCCATCATTAGACCCGCCGTATGTTCCCGCCCCCTTTGGATTATAAGGATTATATGTTGAGCTTGCATGTGTGGTTGAGTGCATATCTTTGCCAGTTCTTTCCCCAGAGCTGCTCCAGCACCTCCTAACAGGACGTCTGAGCGCTGGGACAACAACTACCTCTCAGGGCTCTGCAATTATGGTTGCTGCCCAGGAGAACTAATGTTCCACTTTACGACTGGTTAACATGTTAGACGTTAGTGGGACCATTAAGAACATTTGCTGATGAGCTGTCTGCTTGTCCTTTTTGTTCTTCCTCCTCCCTTTGTTATTTCGAGCTAAAACGGTGTGTTGCTGCGGCCTGTGCCGAGCCCATTGTTTCATGTCCAATGATTCCTTTGATAACATACCTTTTCTTCCTCTTACTTGCACAAACATTCGCACACGAATCTCATTTCCTGTCTGTTTTGCAAGTGACCCTTGCAGCAGGAAGTGTGCGTTGCACGCGACGACAGAAATAGCTGAGAGCTCTTCTCAGTCTTACAGTGAAGCACTTTCAGGGGCCGCTCATACTCGCCCCGTCATTAAGAAGCCATGCTTAACTTTCTGTGAGGACACAACACTTCAAAGCAAATAACCGTGTCCTTCTGACACCGCAGTTTTTGACAGGTGAAATGTGTTTGTGTGACTGTTTCTGCTGTTTGTGTGGTTTTCCCCTTACGCTCTGCTGCTCACTGCAGACTTTATATCTTTATGATGAGAGCAAAGTCTGCAGAGCACTGTTCCACTTTAAAGGTTTGCTTTGTTAGCGTGAGCACAGTGACTGCAGTGGGCTCTGTGTCCGAGACCCTTCATGTGCTGAGCAGCCTTCAGAGTCAAAGCCATAGTTTGAAAAGTGTTGAGCTAACATCACAATTTCAGTTCCTACGAGCTGATAGGACCACGTGTGTTATCGTCAGCCATACGCTCAGTGTGTCCATTTTTTAAATACAGGCTGAAACCAGCGACGTTCAGTGAGTCCAACATGAACAGCCTGAGGCTGTACGATCGAGTTAAATGTTAACTTTACCAGAGAAGCCTCTTGATCGAGCAAAGTTAAGCTTTGTGGCGTTGCTTGATCACACCTCCTCAGCCGTGAGACTTGGACCCTGTAGGGTTTGGTTTAGACACCATCCATGTACATCGTGTTATTTAGATGTGGGTTGTCCAGAGAAGCATTAGTAGTGGATGAAGTGGACATATAACCTCTCATATGCTGAGAACTCGAACATGGAGGTGGAGCAGGTCAGCTTGGTGGCTTCATTGCTGGATGTCAAAGTATACTGGGCGAGACACTGGAAGCACCAGTCGCTGCAGATGTGTTTGAGTGTGAAAGATGTAGAAAAGATGCTCGTATGAATGTACGGGTGAAAGAGACCTGCTGTATAAAGTGCTGGAGTATGTTAGAAAAGCTGCATAAGAACCAGATTTTACCATACAAATCTGTACTGCTGAATACAAGCGTGTGTAATAATAATGATGATGATTTTAGTTAAACAGAAATATTCTTCTGATCATTTAGTTTCATGTCTTCCACAAAAAGAAGCGAGACATCGGTGTGGTCCGGTCCTCCACCGCCGGGTCTGTGCTCTTCAAACGGACAGTGACCATCTGTGTTTTTTTTCTCTTTGACCTGTTTGTTAATCTCACGTGGTGACGTTGTGATCATGTACTAAAATCTGCACATATACCTGCTTATACTTGCACACCAGAAACTAATTCTCATGGATCAGAGTTGTTTATTACACGTGACACTGGAATATGTACGGAGGGAACATAGAGGTTGAAATCATGCTGCACTTTCTTCAGGCTCCTCGCGTGGCTCCTTTGAGGGTCTGTGGTGCTGTGATATTTCATTTCAGGTTAAAGTATTGCTGTCTGATGAACGGCCTGAGAGACTCGTCTGTGTTGAAGCAATGTGTTTACCTCAATTCAGCATTCGAATCGTTGTGTTGCTGAGAAAAACCATCGCTGGAACCGATCGTGTCCGGTTGAGTCTGGAATCTGTTAAGCTGTGTTCAGTATGAGGATGTTAGACTCACTGACTACTCATCTTACCTAGTGAAGTACTCAGGGTGAAGAAAACTCTAATAGATTAGTTACACATGCGTTTAATTATGAATGACTTCAGGAGGGTAATTCTAGCACTCAGTGTACAAATCCTAATCAAATAGTGTATCTTTGAGTTTTCAATAAATGACACAGAGAACTTCTGTCATTGTGGGTCTTTATTTTCTTTACTGCTTTCATAATCAATGCAACTTCAGTGCTGTCCTTAGCTTCAGCTGCACAAACAGCACTGCTGGTCTCGTTGTAATGAGTGCAACACAAACACTTCCTGTAAGCTGGTGTGGGTCAGAGACCAGCCTCTACAAAGTGACAACAGCGTGCGACGACAAGCTGAACACAGCAGGCTGAAGAACAGTCATGTGGGCTGTGGGCAGCAACTGAACACAAAGCAGACATCACAAAATAATGTTTGGTTCATGTGCAGAACAGAAAGTTTGTTTTTCACTTCAAGCGTCGTTTTGAAACTGCAAACTCTGAAGCTGACGTAACAAACACTGGGAAGTCCTGCTGCTGCTTCCTGTGTCGTGGCGTTAACGTGTGCAGCTGAGCTCCTCCGTTGTTTCCCAGCTTTTCTTTTGCGTCGTTTGGATTAAAGAAGTGAGATCAAACATATTAACTGCACCCTTATCTGTGTCCATGCAGATGCTAGCAGGTGCATTTGTTAACCTTTGAACGAATGGATTTGTTATTAATCTTCTATGACAGACGAAAGTAAATGAAAGTGTGACGTGTGACACAGTCCTGGTTCATGGCCCCACACAGCTGCAACATGTCTATAGGTGTTTAGACTCGCTAAGTCAGGGGATCTCAGAGGTTTGAATAATTCAAATGTTTTCAAAGAAGTTCCCTGTCCTGCCCTGATTTGCAAGTCTAGCACTTCCTCCTCTCAGCCTGCTGCATGCTGTGTGTGCTGTAGGTCTGCAGGACCCTACGCTCTGCCACGTGCACGTACCTGCACGCACAGCTGGCTTTTCCACTTCTACCCCACTGCATCACTTTGTCTCATTTGACTTTAACATCCACAGCTGCAGGAAAGACATGAACATCCGAGTGGAGATCATCCTCAAGCAGAGCTGCTGCTAAATCAGGGAGCCTCTAAACAGTCAAGAAGGTGGTGAAAGCAAAGGGGAGAGTGATGGAGGCAAAGGCTAATGTAAATGAATTCAATTCAGCTTTATTTACACAGCGCCAAATCACAACAACAGTCGCTCAAGGTGCTTTATATTGTAAGCAGTAGACCTACAAGTAATAGCATACAGAGAGAAACCCAACAATCATATGACCCCCTATGAGCAGCACTTTGGCGACAGTGGGAAGGAAAAACTCCCTTTTAACAGGAAGAAACCTCCCAGCCAGGCTCAGGAGGGGCGGGGCCATCTGCTGTGATTGGTTGGGATGAGGGTTTGTCACTATCGTGTACCTGGCAAGGAGAAGGTGCTCGTTTCAGAACATTTAATGGTTTTATCTGTTTTACGAGGATTTACCAAAGCAAAAGGAAAAGGCGCGAGTGAGGGAGTTAGAGGAACGAACGAACAGCAGGAGCCTGTTTGCAAACAGCCCCACAGCAGCTCTCTGAACGTCAGATCCACTTCATGTTCAGTCCAGCTCAAGTCTCGGCACCCGACACGTCTTTCGGTTCGTGTTGCTGAAAAACCTTTCCGCAGCACGCAAACGCTGCTGCCACCACGCTTCATGCCAGGTGATGACCACTGCCTGATTTCTTCCTGACATGACGTTTGGCATCAGACCAGGTTCTGATCAGACTCCTGTGCTTTTAACTGAGGCGTGGCTCCTGTCTTTCTCCAAGGAGCGGTGCTGGAGCTTTGTCAGGGTGAACATTGGCTTCGTGGTCACCTTGAGTTCCTTGCTAAGAGTTCTGGTTGTCCCAAACTGCTTCAATTCCTGGAGGATGGCTTCGATACCCTTTCCCAGATCTGTGCCTAAATACAGTCCTGTCTCAGAAGTCCTTGGACTTCATGGCTTAGTGCTCCAACATGCACTGTCAACACATGTCCTATCAGCCGGTGGACTCCAGTCAGCTTGTTTTGATAGCTGATATAGCTGATGATGAGTGTCATGGCAAAGGCTGTATGGGTACATACAGTTTTTACATGTATGCAACCTCTTCAGGCTTTGATATCTTACATATAGATTGATGAGCTTCTTCAATTGGTGATGCAAATTACTACAAGTATGCAAAACATTTAATATGGGCTCAGTGTGTGGGCTTCAAACCTGTGCAAAGCCCAGTTTTAAGGGAGGAACTTTAACAACATGAGAAGCTGAAGTCAGACTATTCAAATATCAGGTGGAACATCGTTTGCAAACGTCCGTACTTTCACAACAAAGAGGGTTTGTTTGTTTCATCTACTCATTCAGTTCTGACAGCTGTGAGCTGAGATAAGCTTCGTGGTCTGAACTGGGGAGGGGCAGTGTGGTATTCACTGCTGATAGGCTGAAGGGAAAAAAACACGACCCTATCACGTTTGGTTATTGAGCTTTCATACAGGACGATGCGCCCTCTGTTATTTTCACATGAAACTGACACAGTGATCCCTGAAAAGCTGCAGGTCGGTGAAATAATCAGACTGTGCTGGATTTATTTTGTCTGGTAAGATAATCACGAGTCTGAACACAGCTGCGCTACAACAGCCGCAGCTTCATCCATCGCCACTGTCAGTTACATGACCAGCAACGTTTTAAGCTTCTTGTCCTCGATCATGCAGTGAGGGAAGCACCCAGCAGGGAAACGCTTTGCTGTCTGAGTACCAAACAGAAGCAGAAGAGAGAGTATCCAGGATGATGACAGGTGGTGGGAGGAGCCAGTCGCTGTGCAGGACTCTGAAACATGTCGGAGAGTGGGGACCAGTGGAGGGTGCTGAGTGGACCCAGAAGGAAGCAGCTGCTGTGTGTGAACTGTGGTTTTGCTGTTGGTGTGGGAGACAGAAAGGCTTCCTCTGCTGTGTTCAGTCTGGACCTGCTCTGTGGAAATGTAGCACAGCTTTTACTTGAGTAATGTCACTAAACTCTCCACACTTCTTTTCTCCCACCTGGCTGGAGCTGATCAGCTCGTCCCCGCCCACACAGCCCCAGTCTCATGCATGCAAGTCTCAGCAGCTCCATGAATGTTTCTGTGCTCTAAACAATCTCACAGACGCCTCCGGGTCAGCCTGGCTGGCTCACTGCTGAGACCTCAAGCAGGCACTGGCCTCTGGTGTCAGTCTGCCAGGCGTCTGGTCCCCTTAGTCGTACTGGTGGATCTCTAGATCCAGTAGGTGGTATTCCACAGAGGGGAAGCTCCACTTCTTTCTCCAGGTGAGCTCATAACCCACAGCAGCTGTCTGCTGGTGGCTGTGGAAGCAACACAAGCACAGCATGGAGAGGAGGGAGCTGAGTTTGCTAGCTGCTCTTTGTGCCGTCCTCACCTGTGGTCCTGAACCAGTACAAGCTGAAATCTGTGTCCACGTGTCTGGGCTTCTTCTCTCTGCACACTGGGAGTAACTGGGAGTAACTGGGAGTAGACCTGCTGCACACTGAGAGGAGCGAGCTGCTTTGGTTGAGGTGCTTCAGGCCCTCTGGTCACCTGGCTTTTGCATCAGGTAGACCTCAGGGATGGGACCGTGGCTTCAGAGGAGGTGCTGGAGAAAACTGCAGGCAGACAGGAAGCGTGTGCATCTTTGCCTCGTTCGTTGGTGTTCCAGAAATCAGTGCTGTGTGAGAGCAGAACTTTAAACAGTGGAGAGCTGCTTTCATGTTGCTGCCTGTGCCTTTCTGAGAAGCAGGAAGCTTCGTCTGCCAGTAAACTTCCTGTTCTGCAGCTCTGTTCACCCTCTAGTGTCAGAAAGGAGCAGATCGTGAGGCACGTCAGAGGAACCCAGCGAACCACAAAGCTCTCACTTCCTGTCAGGAATATATTGTAGATGAAGCCGTTTCAGACCTACTTTTCCCTTCAGTCAGCTGGCAGCCTGTTTATGCAGCTGAAGGCCGTCCAGTGACTCTTTTAAGGCTCCGTCTAAGAACCAACAAAGAGTGCACACTAACGTAAGCTACACAAGTGAACATGATGTATAAACATGAAAGTATAAAGATGACAGGACAGCGGAGCCAGAAACCAGCTTTTATTTCTGAGACTTCATCGGACATGTGAGAGCTACAAAAACTGTGATTCTCAGAGCCATGAAAAGCAGGACAACAGCAACATGTGTGAAGAAAGGATTCACGCAGACAGCGAGGATGGACTGAAGGTTTTAATCCCAGCAGGGATAACTGGGAGAAACGTTCAGTTTCCAGTTAAAACACTGGCTGTGAGTCTGAGAGCAGCTTTTTAAAAACTGCCTGCTGAACGACTACATCACCTAACGAGGTCATTGTCACCATATTTATGCTGTCATCGGTGCACGTAGGGCTGCGCGATATGACCACAATCTCATATATAAGACATTTATCGTCCTGGCAACGATATAAATCACAAACATGTGATATTTCCTGTGAATCTCGTGCAGCTCGACTGGCGTTTAGTTTTTCCAGCTGGGCGTCCTGTAGCTGCAGTCGAGTGTTTCAACCGATGCATGAAACATTTTGTATAACATAAGTTGTAACGGCCGCTGTTTTCTCTCAAAGTTTCAGGCTGAGGTTTATTTTTAGCACCTGACGGCTCTTTTTTGCTTCTCCTCCGTAAATACTCTGCATCTTTCACGTGATTCGGTTTATTTTGAAAAGTCTCAACAGGATCTTGAGCTTTATTGTGAAAGGCTTACGTGGAAAACAAGCAAGCGGACAGCGGAGCCACGCGATGGTGTTACCGTTGTTGTTGCTAACAACAACATGTAAAAAGAGGCGCTTGTCCGTCTGTAGTGTGGTTATGTTATATAAGAGAAAGAGAGAACTTAAGAAATTAATACTACAGTGACATCAGAACCATGAACAAATATGCAGTAAACTGTTTATTTTGCGACACCACGAAACAAACGATAGCGTGATAGGAATCGACAGAGGTTTTTACATCGTCATACACATGGTCACATCGAACAGCCCTAGGTGCAGGTCTGGCTGCTGCTGACATGTGTGTGATGCTAACTGTGGTCCACGAGGTCAACAACAAGAAGGAAGCCTTAAAATGAAGAAGCACTTGGTCTTATGGCACAGGGGGACGTCTTTGCTTTAAGGACCGACAGCATGTCTGTGACATACACAGCTGATGGTTCATAAAGCAGGATGGTTACAGCACGGTGGGCCAGGCAAACCTGACTGAACGGGTCACCTTCATGTGCAGAATAAAAGCAGTAAAGCTGCTGAGGCTGAGCCCTGGACTGAGGCGGATGCTGTTTCCCGTGTTTGAATCAAGCTTCATCTTATCTTTAGTACGGTTAATAAATACTCATCATCACCAGTCTGCTTTGCCATTCAAACACAGCTGCTGGCACCAGTAGTAAAACCAGAATCACACACACTACAGTTATGCTGTGTAGCCCACAGTGACACATCAGTTAGGACTCGGACATCTTGCGGATCATGTAGTTGAGGATGCCTCCATGCCGGAAATATGCCAGCTCCACATCCGTGTCAAATCTCAGGCGCACTTGGAATGTTTTCCCCGTGTCGAGCTGTGGGAGCAGGGAGAGAGCAGGTCAGCGTCACATCCCAACACGCCTGCAGCAGCGTGCCGTCTGTCCGTACCTTGATGTCTACGACCATCCTGGGTGTGAGCAGCTCAGGGATGACCACGGTGTAGCGCTCTCTGCCGGTCAGACCCAGGCTGTCGGCCGTGTCTCCTGGTAGATACTCCAGAGGAATCACTCCCATCCCCACCAGGTTACTGCGGTGGATCCGCTCATAGCTCTCTGCCAGGACAGCCTTGATCCCCTGCAAACACAAAAAAACACCTGAGACCTGCAAACAACTATGTGAGCATACAAACAAAGTAGTTTGAGTTTACCAGCAGAAAGGGGCCCTTTGCAGCCCAGTCCCTGGAGCTCCCGGAGCCGTACTCCTTCCCTGCGAGAACGAGCAAAGGGATTCTGGACTGCTGGTACCGGTCTGCAGCATCGAACACGTCCAGCTGAAACAAGAACACAGATGCTCAAATCATAAGATACGCCCGGCAACAGCACTGCATCTGTTACCATGGTCAGCAATGCCACACATCTGACATGGTCTACACTGATGCTTTTACACAACAGTGATAATTAACCCTGTGAGGTCTGAACCCTGCCCTACTTTAGATTACTGCTGCATTTTATTTCACAGCTTCATTTCCAAGAACAAACCTAAGAGCACCGTTAGAGCTACTGTAACAGTGTTTAATGAATCTACATGCAGCTTGTAGTTCCTGATGTCAACCAAGAACCAGAACGCACACTTCCTCATAGCTCACTTATTATCGAGATAAAGAGTCACGGCACAAAGCTCTGATTTTTCTCTTTCAGGCATAACCGTTGATATAAATATGGGAAACATATAGATGTGTCTAACATTTGCTATGTGCAGTTATTATCAGCTGGGTGTTGGTGGCGTTCCTGAAACAGCTGCAGGGTACCGTTAGGGTTAGGCAGGTACTGTTAGGTACATGCTGCCCTCTGGTGGACAAACTATGCAACCTCAAAACTCGTAAACAAGAGTGTCCGCAGGCTCTCCTTCAGTTTATTAATATCACAACATTGACTCAAGAGCATCAGAAAACCTTACATTTATGATCTGCTCTCCACACTCCTTTAGATGCACTGACGGTCATGTATATAGAGCTGTAATAATATTAGCTGCTTTGTAATTTAAATAAAGAAAATGTGCTCGAGGCATAAATGAAATGTAATTTAACATCACAGTTTAAACAGCATGTGTCTGACTTCTGTTGAGAAGTTGAAGTTGCATAGTTTGTCCACCAGAGGGCAGCATGCAGCCCTGACTGTGCTGGCTCTAATGTGGGTCCAGTCTGAGCTGACACAGCCGTGTGCCTTCTTCTTATAAACAAGTGTTGCACAACGATGCAGCGCGAGGCTCCCTGTAGCTCAGGGGTAACGAGCTCCTACCGTTTCTCCTGTCGGCAGGTGGATGGTTTGTGGCGCCTGCTTGTTGAGAAACTTATTGAAGAGACGGATGTTGGCAAACGTCCCTCTGGCCATAACGGCGTCGTTACCTCGCCGAGAGCCGTACGAGTTGTAGTCTCGGGAGTTCAAACTGCCAAAAGAGTAGCAGCAGAAAATGTTGATGGTTTCACACCGACAAGTGTTTTTCATCAAGAGATCATATGAAAACTGTCTGTGACGTGGGCTAAGTACCATTATTATTCAGTAACACGTGTGCGCCGACTCACCCCCTGCTGGTCAGGTAGCGTGCTGCGGGGCTGTTCCTGGCGATGTTCCCCGCAGGTGAAATGTGGTCGGTTGTGACCGAGTCTCCCAAGTTCAGAAGCACACAGGCATCTGTGATGGAGGCAGGAGGCTGCAGCTTCCTGGTCTGAGTTAATACAACACAGTCAAGACACGTCGGGTCAGACAGCAGGGTTTCCTGTGTGCAGCGGGGACACGCTCGCCAAACCTCAAAATGTCTCACTGTCTTAACTAAGGATGTGCAAGACTAGTCAAGGAGCTGTCACTTTGTTTTAACTGAAGCCGGGACATTACTGTGTCATAAATGTTATGCACCCGTCTTCCACCAGATGGCGTCGTTAGTGAGAAACGGCACGAATCAATGGTTAATCCATCTTTTTGTTAACGGTGCAAATGAGCTTTCTCTGAAAGGTGGATGGGCTCCAGACAGGGGGCGGAGGTCATTCGGAAGGGCTTTAGAGTAGGCCCACCTCTCTGGCTAAGGTCACCTGGGTCAGGTGTTAGAACCGGACGTGTCCTACTGCAGGGAGGCCCAACCAATAACACGACGGCCTCCTCCTGACAGACTGTGGAGCTGTGGTGGAGCACAGTTCACCACCACAGGTCTACACCCTACACTAGTGGGGCCAATTGCTTTATGGAGGCAAGTCCACTCTTCTTCTCAATGAAGGCGAAACATAACCTTTGAATAAGTCTGCAGACGAACGTTCGTGCACGGCATGTACTTACCAAACCATCAAAGAAGGGCGGAGACTTGATGTAGGTTGATTTGGGGTCCCAGGTGTAGAGTTTATCAGAGGGAGCAGCCAGCGAGTTCCAGCGTTCATTCACGTGCTGCAGCGAAACCACAAACACAGCACAAGGCTTTCTGTCAACGAGACATATCAGCAGTGCACGATCTCCCCAACAAGCGTAAGATCACACTACCTCGATCTTCTCATAAACCTCTTTGAACATGGATGGGATGACGAACATTCTCTCCACAGCCTGGATTTCCTCTCGAGTGGGCCAGATGTCCCTGAGGAAAACATCTTTGCCTTCAGAGCTCATCCCTACAGGGGATAGAGAAAGAAAGAGGACAGCAGTCAAACGTCTTTTCAGCTGATTGTGATAATAACCTAAACCATATACAGACGCTTCAGCTTAAAGCTCATCAACACACTTAGACCTGCTGGAAGTGACCTGCAGGTTTAAACCCAGAGCGCAGGTTGTCTCGTCTCTTTCTTTCAAATATCACTCCTATTTATTTAGACCTGTCTTTGCCTTCTATAACTAAAAGGCTTCAGCTTAGTATCTCAAATGTTTTGGGTTAGTAAGTGAAAGCTTGGAGATCAACTCAAACCTGTTTCAATCAGTGACTTACCAATGGGCTCATTGTCAAAGTCTATCCTCACTGTGCCAGCCAGTGCATAGGCGATGACGAGCGGTGGGGAAGCCAGGTAGTTGGCTCTGGTGTTGGGATGCACTCGTCCTTCAAAGTTTCTGTTGCCTGAAAGGACGCCTGCAGCGATCAGATCCCCCTGAGGCACAAAAACACCTCAGTCACATGACACACAGAAGGCTCATGGAGACTGAACACGGAGCTGCTTCAAGGCAACAAAGAGTGTGTTAGGAATGAATAAACGTCACAGGAGGAAGGAGGAGGAGCCTCCGATGTAAGCCGCTAGTACCTGGGTTATGGCCTCCACCACTGGTTCTGGGAGCGGCCCACTGTTGCCTATACACGTCATGCAACCATAGCCAACAACCTCAAAGCTGGCAGAAGACACAAAGGGATTATTACACAGCTGCACGTCACACACTCTGTCACTCTGTCACTTCCTCAGATGTAAACACAGGAGTACCAGTTCTAGGTGCAACACACGGGGGCGCCACAAACGTGCAGCACACAGGGGCGCCACAAACGTGCAACACACAGGGGCGCCACACGGGGGCGCCACACAGGGGCGCCACACGGGGGCGCCACAAACGTGCAGCACACAGAGGCGCTTCAGAATCAAACAGCAGTTATGACGAGACATTAACGCAGTGATGCTGAGCGCTCAGAAATAATCAAAGAAAAAGTGGCGTAACTCTGAAGACCTGAAGTCTTCTGAACGTAAACAACATTACGTTCAATCATTGAAACGTTCACTGATCGCTGTGCTGATGTCCTGCTTTAAACACTGGTTACACTGGATCCTACCAGGTGAGAGGTGTGAGTGAAATAACAGTCAGTCAACACAAACGTGGGATCGTTCCAACAACAAGCAGCTTACCCGAGCTGAGACAGGTAGTCCATGACGCCGCTCTCTCTCAGGTAGTAGGTCACCACTCCGCTGCCAGGGGACAGGCTGGTTTTTATGTACGGCTTCACACTCAAACCACACTCGACTGCTTTCTTTGCCAGGAGTCCTGAGATACGAGAGACTCTCATTCAGTCACTGTGTCAGAAATCTGTGTGACAGTGAAGGGCAGCACACCCACCTGCTCCCAGCATGACGGATGGGTTGCTAGTGTTGGTGCAGCTCGTGATGGCAGCGATAACCACCGAGCCGTGACTCAGCGCGTACTCCTTTCCGTTGAACTGGAAGGGGGCTGTAGCGTTGTGGTGCTGCGGAGCCACCTGGAAGCCCTTGAAGCCTTGCTGAGGCGAGAATTATAGAAAAGAACGATTTCAGAGCATCTTATGTGACAGACGTGTCGGTTAGCAACAAGCCTGTAGCAGCACACGAGTGACTCCTGGTAAGACTGCACTAATGAGCCCCCTACAGCAGCTAGACACCTGTGCACCTGTGCTAGAGGCAGGTATCACCTCATGCTACAAGCAGTGATACTGACCAGAGCTAATGCTGAGTGTCAGCAGCCTCCACCTGTAAATGTAGGAACGCACCTTTGCTTCCAGACAAACTTCAAAATCTTTCTTCATGTCAGACACGGGAACTCTGTCCTGAGGTCTTTTGGGACCGCTGCAGCAGGGAACCACCGTGCTCAGATCCAGCTCTACAACCTGAGGAAGACGGACACATCCAGCTTTATTCTTGTTACATTTGCATCATGTCACAATTTTCATTAAAATCTATAAAAGACAAAACAGACAATGACCTGTGATCCCTGAAAATAGACTTTTCTGGGTTCAGCAAACATAAAGGAAGTCAGAGGCTGACCTGAGTGAACTCTGGATCCTGGGAAACATCATTGTAGTCTCTGAAGATGGCCACCGCCTTCAGGTACTTGGTAATGTATGCTAACTTCTCTGGTTCCCGTCCTGATTTTAGACAAACGAGTCGCATAAACAAAAAGAATCGCGTGCAATGAATGAATGCAACCTTTGTGCTGACGTCAAACGCCACCAGCTCACCGGTTTGTTCCAGATACTGAAGGCTGACATCGTCCACGGGGAAGAAGGCTGCCGTGGCGCCGTACTCTGGGCACATGTTGGCGATGGTGGCTCTGTCAGCGATCGACAGCTGAGCCACACCCGGGCCGAAGAACTCCACGAATTTTCCTACCACGCCCACCTGACGGAGGTGCTGCGGGCGCATGCAGAAAGCACAGCTGTGACGTCAGAGCGCTGACTGCTGTTGGAACAGCTGCATCAAACGCCCTCCTACCTTGGTAACAGTCAGGACGATGTCGGTGGACGTGATGAACTTATCCGCAGCGCCGTGCACCTTGTAGCCCACCACCTCGGGGAGCACCATGCTGATTGGCTGACCCAACATAACAGCTTCTGCTTCAATCCCACCCACACCTGAAGGGGCAAGATTAACCTTTACTTAGGACACCAAGCTCACACCTGATTTTTCACTTTCACACCATTACAAGCAGCTGATGCAAATGTTTCTGAGTGATCTTACTGCAAATCAAACAATCTGCACGTATGTGTGGATGCATAACTAAAAACAACACTATTACTACTAATAATGTTAAAGTGTTGAACTGTCAGAGGTTAAACAACATAATGCACATTCACAATGATACAAAAAGGCAACAACATGGGCTAACAGTGCAGACGCTGCTCTGCAGACGCTGCTGCTGCTCCTACAGGTGTGACCTCCAGCCCCCCGTCTGCATGAAGCAGTGCTGGACACACTGTGGCACAAACCCTCATCAGCATCGGCTGAACAGTGATGAGAGACGGACCATCACAACACTTCTAGATGCAGGTCTGTGCTGCAGAGAGATGCAGACAGAGTCAGCGAGTCCAGTTTCCTTCAGCATCAAATGCAACCTGTGACAGGCAGAGGTCTGCAGAGCCAACGACACGACTGAGTCCAGTTTCTGAGAGTTAACAGCTGTGTGACGGCGGCTCACAGGACAACAGCTTCAAGCAGCTTCATAGTGGTCGTAGTGAGAACGTCTCAGTTTCTACTGTTTGACAGGACGAGCTGCAGAAAGAAAGCCAGACGTCAGAATAGGACACAGTTCCACAGTGTGCGGCATCAACATGGAGGAGGAAGTGTGATGGTCTGGGGCTGTTTGCTGGATCCAGGGTTGCTGACTGAACCAAAACAGCTACCACAGCGTTCTGCAGCACCATGCAGCACCCTGCGCTCCGTCAGGGCTTCATCCTACAGCAGGATAACGACCCACACATCAGTCCAAGCTGTGCCAGAACCAGTGTCCAGCACAGCCTCCAGACTGAAAGCCCATCGAGCTGGTTTGAACTGAAAGCAAAGCAGCTACAAAGGTCCACATTTATGGAACTTCTGCTCCAGATGTGGGAGAAGATTTGATTTTTGTTGTAGACAGAAGCCACGACTGCGTTCAGCTGCTACATCTGCCAAAGGAGGCGACTGACGAGTCAAAGGTTAGAATCTGTTTGGGTCTAAAACTGACTCCAATTACTTTGTGCTGTGCTTTGATTTCAGAGTGCAACGAGACATTAATCATTTTCAATGAAAAAATGTGTGTATTCTAAAACCTCTGACTAGTAGTGTGTATTTCATGAGGTGAGGATCCTGCACAGAGCAAAAGAAATCAAACAATAAACACGGCAAAAACAAACTATGAGAGAATCTAGTTAATGATGGAACAGAGAAGCTGCATTCATACTGGGACCAGCAGCAGCCTACAGCAGCATAACTGCTGTAAAAGAGAGGGAGACGTCTTACCCCAGCCCAGGACGCCCAGACCATCGATCATGGTGGTGTGAGAGTCGGTGCCCACCAGACTGTCCGGATACAAGAGCCCATCCTGGTTAAACACCACGCGGGCCAAGTACTCCAGGTTGACCTGGTGAACGATTCCTGAACCAGGAGGAATAATTCGCATGTTTCTGAAGGCTTTGGAGCCCCACTGCAAAGACCAGAGATCATATTTATGGACCGAACCATCAGACTTACATGGACACACGACAGGTTCATACCTTTAGAAACTGAAATCTTTCTTTGTTGCGGTCAAACTCCAGATCCTGATTTTTCTGAAGGCTGTCAGACCTGCGTGAAGAACAACAAGTGAAATGAAGCAGTGAATGAAACACCTATGAGCTGACACACGGTGGGAGAAAGGCGAGAGATCTTACTTCCTGTTGAAGTCCACTTGGATGGAATGATCAATGACGAGGTCAGCGGGACAAACTGGATTAATCTTTTCTGGGTCGCCACCGAGTTTCATCACTGCGTCACGCATGGCAGCGAAGTCGACCACAGCAGGAACACCGCTGCGTGACACAGCACAGGCTGGTCAGGGACCGCTCAGAATGTGATGTCACCTTCTTAAACATCACTAATAAGACCCCAAAAGCATGTGTTTGGAGTCTGTTACCGTAGAAACCTGCTGCTTACACAGGGAATAACTTTGCTGTTGTTAAAGTCCAGACTGCTTTTAGCAGATGCTGCCGCAAACTGCACTTAAATCCTGAGCTGGTTATTTCACTCAAAGGTTCTTTTTGCACCTGAGATGATGTAAACAGGGATTTCACAACACCTGCAAACACCTCGTGACACTACGTTCTTCTTACAGACCAGCGTTACTCTGATGACATCACTGACACACCAGGTGCATTAAACGTATTAAATGTGTGAAAGTTAAAACAAGACACTGACACTCAAATTGTGAGGAAAAGACATACGTGAAGTCCTGGAGGATGACCCGCGCCGGCCTGAACGGCACCTCCACAGTCTGGAACTGCGTCTGCTTCCAGTTCAGGATGCTTTCCACATCCGAACGCTTCACTAGAAACTCATCACAGTTCCTGACGGCAGATTCCAGGAGGACCCGGATGGAGAACGGCAGACGGTCTAAGGAGCGCATGTGCAAGTCAACACTTCTCGGTTGTGTGCACCGACGAGATGCTTCATGTTAGCATTCAGTGTAGATGTGCTCCTACCATATCTGGGATCTCCAAGCTTGGATAGATTGAAAAACTGCTGCTCTGGGTGTTTGGGGTCCAGAGGCTCAACGATGTGCTCAAAAGGATTTTTCACAGCTGCCGACATCTTTTCCTAAAAGAAGATCAAAAGCCTGACTTACATGATGCAGACTAAAGAAGCACCTTTCAAATATGTCAACAACATACAAACCAAATGAAGACTGACAGGAAGGCAGAGCTCGGGCCTGTTACTCGTTCCCTAACGGCAGGTGGATCTGCTTGGATTCAGGGTTAGTGGTGGAGGGTCGTTGACCTCGTTCTATGAACTTTGCATAACTCAAGTTCTTTAACAAAAATGTGACGCTGACTGTGTGTCAGTCACTTGCAGCTCAAACACACATTAAGTGAAATTCAGGTTCTGGGGCCTGTTAGAAAGAGGCGTTATCTGTGTGAAAGGTGAAAACAGCGCATGCCTGCACATGACCACGGACTTGGCTGGTTAGCTGAAGTTCAGGCGAAACCTCTGCTGTCAAGTGCAAAGTCAAACTGCCACGACAGTGACAAAGACATCAATATCCGGACAGCTTTACTTCTAATGGTTTAGTCCTGTGTAACAACTACTGTCACTCCTGCCGATATAAAACGTGACGCTGACCTTTAGGTCACATTTGTAGCCTCGATTATGCCATTTTTACCAGAATGGTCCCAGTTTCAATCAGAAAGTTTTACACTTGAAGCCTGATTAAAGTACAGCTTTGTCTCCACATCCGTCACGTTGATATATTATCAGTAAAAACGTGCGAAGAAAACCTGACCTGCTAACGATCACGGTTAACTGCACCCATTTACGAATTCTACCAAAACTTGCTAATGTTGATGCTACGTGTCCAGTTAGCATAGCTCATGGGTCAAAGTTCAGCATTTATGAAGACAGGTATCAGGCTTTTATTCAGAGATGAACATTTAAATTGAACACTAAAACGAAGGAAAGAAGCATAACATTAGCTAATAATTCAGACATGATATCTTATTAGTGTGAGTTGGTATAAAGCATAATGTGACAGTTGGATAAATTAGCTTTCGTAGCGACACAACGAGAATTTCAGTTCAGACGTTCTTCTGGAAAATCGTTAATAAGCCAAGAAACTGAATGTGGTCGGATGGTTATTGCTTACTTTAGATGCAGTGTTGAAGTATCACCAGATCACAGCAGTTAGGTCACAACCAGCTAGTCGCCACAAAACCTGCTGCTTGTTCCGCCCAGGTTCCGCCTCCACTCGGGACACTTCCGGTTAGGTTTTTATTCAGAATAAAAGCCGAACCCACGCCGGGCTTTGCAGCTTCATATCCACGTATATCTGACAACTATGGAAAGGAACTGGAACGGGAAATTGATTATTTATTTATTCATTTATTCATTTATTTATTTTCGGTGGCATAATACAAAACAATTATTTGGCATTTATATATTTTATCTTATATTTTAAGAGGGAGAGAAATGCTGAGTATGACAGAAAGACCCCTAGAACCACAGTCAAGCATGGACTGTTATGCTTTGGAGCTACTGAGGGTACAGGATGACTTCACCACATTGAGGGCCAGACGGGTCTTGCACCATAAAATCTTGGATGTGAACCTTCCTTCAGCCAGAACACGGGGTGGTGATGGGTCGTGGGCTTCCAGCATACCACTGAGTGAAAACACACTGCCAAGGCAACAAAGCCGTGACTAAAGAAGGAGAACATTAAGGGCATGGAGTGGGCTAGCCAGTCTCTAAACTTCAGTCCCATAGAAAACCAGTGGAAGCTTAAAACTAGAAAACAAACAAACTAGGTGATTAAGAGAATATCACGAAGTCTGGCCATTTAGCAGTGTTGGGGAGTAACGGAATACATGTACCGCCGTTACGTATTTAAAATACAAAATATGAGTAACTGTATTCCGTTACAGTTACCGTTTAAAAAGGTGGTATTCAGAATACAGTTACTTTGTTGAAATAAATGGATTACACTGCGGTACTTTCCTGTTTCATATTGTCGCGGGTCAGGACTGTTTGGGTTTTGTTTGACAGCTACGTTCTGTTGTTCCAGGCGGCAGCGTTACGGTTGCCATGGTTACAGGGCGACGCTCTCTCTCTCTCTGCGACTGTGTGTTTCCTGGGTGAGAGAGCGCCTTTTCGTTGTTGTTGTTGTTGTTGTGCTAAGCTAACAGGCAGAATGCTACAAGCATAGCTCTAAAGAATGTAGCATCATGTTCAGTGTAGTCCGTGCTGCTGGGAGAATGGACTGCCATACACGTTATGTGTCTGTGAGCGCTAGGAGGGAGAAAAAGGGGAGTGGAAAGGTACGAGCAGTCATCGAGCAAAAACGGGAGCTGGAAGCATGTAAATATAATAATAACCACTGCAGCCAAGAAGAGTGCCTGACGAGCCCAGTTGTAAGTAAGCTATTAAGACTCGACTGTACACTGTGTTCGTGTTTTCCTCCGAAAACAATAAGTTCCGTTGGAGCAGCCTTTCAACGCCTCTCTCTGTCTCTCGCAAGCAAAGTTGACCCAGACAACAAAGTAAAGCTATTTTTCGGCTACGAGCCGACAGGGACCCCGCCGTATTAGTCAGAGGTCCCTTTACTACAGTTCGGAGTCGCGGACCTTCAGTAATAGTAATAAATCACACAGCAATAGTACATTCACGTTGTTGTAAAAAGCATGATAATATATTAAGTAATCCAAAGTATTCAGAATACGTTACTGTCATTGAGTAACGTAACGGAATACGTTACAGAATACATTTTGGGGCATGTATTCTGTATTCTGTAATGGAATACATTTTAAAAGTAACCTTCCCAACACTGTTATGTATACAAGAATAACACAATACTATTATATCATGAGCAAACCAACATAAAAATGGGGAACAGCAAACCTAACGCAATAATGGATTTGTTATATTGTACACATTCATAAAGAGAATAATGACCAGCATGTTTCACTGCAGCCAGGGAACACAAGATAAGATAGATAAGAACACCTTTATTAATCCCACAGGTGGCAAATTTGTTTCGTTACAGCAAAAGTACAAAGTTATGTAGCAGAAATTAGAAAACACTGGAATGCAATAAAATAAAATACTATATACAATAGAATAAAATAGACAGGCCGTCCTACCTGAGAGTAGAACTCACAGTGGTGAGTCTGAGATTTACAGTCAGTGATGAACCTCAGAGAAGGATACACAGTATCAACCGGAGCAGAAGCATTCATATGTAGAATATCTCCATAAACCAGCACAGGTAAAATGTGCCCCCGAACAAAAAACGAATACAATGTAGCGCTGTGCAGACTGTATACTAAAAGATTAGCTGCTTTTATCAAAATGACCAGTAGATGGTGCTGCAGCAGCAGCTATGTTCTTACATGTGTCGTTTGCTTCGTGGCTCGTGTTAAACTAGCACATCTTTATAGTTTGTAGTTGCAGAACTACTTACTTATGCAACACTTTCCTTTCCAAACACACATGCAGGTGGTTACATATGGTTAAAATGATTCAAATGCAGTAAGTATGCACGTTTTTCATATAAATATATTCTGTAACTTAATTATTGTCTGTAGCCCACATGATTACACACTTTAGTTACATGAAACGTGTGTTTTGATGTTATGTGCTGTATAGCCTGTATAATAAATAAACATGTAGCCCAATAAGTATAAACTCCAGAAAGCTACACAACATGGGGCGCTTCATTTACAAACACAAGTCTAACTTAAGTTTCACTGTTTTTTGTTAGAAAACA